CAAACACCCACGGCTTCTTTCTGGTCAACTGTTTGTTCACAACAGAGGTGGTAAGCAGTGGAAAAAACTTAACCCTAAGGTGTACAGTACTATTACAGTTGCTACTGTTAATGTAAGTTGCATGGTTGATTTTGCAGACATTGATCCAGCTGCAGTGTACTCTGTTGCTGCTCAACCTAGCAGTTCACAGTCTTCACTTCCTCACTCAAGTTCACGGTGTAAAATAAAATAAGGTAAACTTACTATGCCTTCAGCCCCCCCTAGTATATTTTATGAAAGCAGAAATTTTAATGCTGTAAATAATTTGTTTTGTGTTTATCGACTGATATTCTCATGACTGTGATCTGGTGTCTTTGCTGTATTGATAAACTTTTGTTCTTACATAGTTGTCACGTGGTTCTGTGGGTTTCATTGAGGTGTTGGATGGAAAATTTGACTAACTGGCTAACTGATACACATCTCTCATCAGTGCAAGAAACAAACACTAAACATCAACTGCAGACTAAAGACATCAGTAACATCATTCACTAACCATATGTGAGAGAAAAGCTTCAGTTTGTCTGTTTGAGACTGAAAGCACACTCTCCAAGCCCAACGAGTAGCACGTGACAAGGGGATTTTTTTTTTTAATTGTTGAATTTCTCCAATAGTTTAAAATTTAATTTTTCCTTTTTTTTATTATTTTCTAATAGTTTCAAAATCAGTATTTCAGGTTTTTCTGATGGTCAGAATAAAGAAAGCTATATCAGCTCTTTAGCTGGGACACCAGAAAATGATCACAGATATATTTTTTTTTAACTTTGAGACGTAGAGAAAAGAAAACTTTTTGCTGTCAGTAGATTATTATATTTTGTTAGCTGACCTCACTTTTTAATGTACTTGTACAAAGCATCACATTCTGCAAAACATTCATATCCTCTAAGCCAGAACTTTACCATGTGAGGTTTTTATTAAAGGTTTTTAGTTTTTTGAACCACAACCTCCTGAACATGTGATCACATCTCATGAACCAGCACTGAGCCCTCCTGATAAACCACTCAGTGAAGCATGAAATAGCCATGACTCACATTTCAAGTCTCCCATCTAGTGGTTATACTGAGTGGTTTGCTGGCCTCCACCTTTGGGGGTTGTGGTCTAACTTGGCTCAAGCTACTTATGTGGTAGGGGCTCTGCCAGGCTTCGGACAGTTCTTTGGGATCTGTGGTTTGTCACACACACCAAAATTGTATATTTAATTGTGTACCCACCCCTTTTTTGTCTTTCTTGTGCTGTGTATCATTTGGGTTTGCTTCATTAGAGAAGCTGCAGTTGGAAACAGAATGTTTGTTTACTTTGCCCTCAAAGTTGTACCTACCACTTGTTTTTCACCATTTCTTCTTGGAGCAACTG